GACAGTGAACTCTGCCTTTCAGCACAGCTCTGTGTGTCAGAGCAGGGCTTTCTTCAGGTTTTTGCATCTGTGAGAAAAACCAGCAGTGGTTTTCCAACACCGCTGTGCCCCCGTTGGAGGGGCAGGGGAAAAAATCCCAAATGAGGAGTTTCAGAGGGAAACCCAAAGGGTTCTGCTCCTGTCCAGCCCTTCCCAGCTCTGTGTAGACCAGATGAACCCTCCTTTTACCATGGGTGGGGAAACTGAGGCACGGTGACAGGACGCTGTCCCCCACGCCAGGCTCCAGCCTCTCATTCTGGTTCATAATCCAGCAGCCCACAGTCACCCAGCTGTGGCTCTGCTCCACACTCACATCCTCCCTCCCTCTGCCTGCCTTCCACGTCCTTCCCAGGCAGGGAAGAGCCAGGACAGAACTCACCACTCACCACCGCTTGCTTCAGGAGTTGCTTGGGGTTTTCCCTATAAACACTAAATTCTGAAATCCAGAATGAGCTCCTCCACACCTCCTGGCACAGGAGCAGGAGCTGCTGGATGTGAGGAAGGGGGGCACAGGTGTCCCAAGGCAGGGAGGGTGGCAGTGGCTGGGACAGGCTGGCACTGTGGCAGTGGGGACCCCCGAGCCCCCCGTGCCAGGCAGGGCCTCTTGGGGGCTCACCCTGGAGAGGCTGCCCTGTCCTCCCTCCAAAGCCCCCAGAACAAAGGCAGACGTGGCTGTTGCTGACTCACAGGATAAGATCATTGTTGTGGGACATTTTATTTTCTGTGTGTCACTTAGACGTGATTTTTTTCTAGCAAATTTGTTCTCCTCCCCTCCACCCCCAAAGTGAAAAGGGAATCTGTGCTGAAAGCCGCAGCTGAGATTGCAGAGACCTTCCCTTCCTGATCCTTATCTCAGCAGGATGTAGGAGGGTCCCTCGGGAGGAGCTGGAAGCCTTTCGCTGGAGCCATCCAAGAACCGAGCACAGCCTTTAAATGGCAAAACCATCGAGTGCCGGGGGATCCGAGAGCTTTAACCCCGTCCCAGGGTGACATTCCTGGGACTCTCCCGATCCCAACCTGCCCGGCACGGAGCCGCCTCAGTCGATAAAATAAAAACACCCCTTGGAACCCCAGCCTGCCCCGAACCTCCGAGCGCTGCCCGGCCCCGCTCCCCCTCGGGCCGGGTCGCACCGAGCGGCTCCTCCCTGCAGGGATGGATGCTCAATGGCTCTGCCAGCTGAGAAAGCTCCAGCCCCGGGGAGAGGGTGCAGGGCCCGAGGAAGGGATGCTGCACCCCAGGGCAGGGAACAGCAGAGGGCACAGGCTCATCCTGCCCCGGGGACACGGGGGTCACGGCAGCCTGGCTCTGTCGTGGTTAGCGCAGGAAACAGATGCTGCCTGCTGAGGAAGCACCTGAAGAGCATCAGAGCACCTTGTGCCCGCCCCGGCAGGAACCTGGAGGGAACAGGGGGTGCTGGGTGGAACCCCCCGACCTGGCCCCAGCTGGGCTCGGGGGCAGCGCCCTCGGACACAGTGTCCCCACGGAAAAGCTCCTGCCCTTGGAGGAAAAGGCACGGGCAGAGCCAGAGCTGTCAAACCTGGCTGCAGGAACAGATCCGTGAGCCCCCTGGGCAGGGGCTGCTCCATCCTCCAGCCCCGGTCCAGCCAGGCCAGGGTGGAGCCTCTGCTCCAGCACCCACCCTCTGCCTCTACAACTTGCTTTCCTTTCTCCTTATCCTGCTCTGATTTGATTGGGAATTAATTTTTCCCCAGGTCAAGCCTGTTTTCCCCATGTTGGTAACAGCAGAGTGCCTTCTCCCTGTCCTTACCTTCACCCTTTGATTTTTAAATGCAGCCCCTTCACCACCCCGCAGCTGAGCTGCCTCAGTGTGACACTGAGGGACAAATTAACTGCACCCCCGAGCTGCCTCAGTGTGACAGTGATGGACAGATTGACAGCAATGATAAGTGGCCGAGCTGCCTCAGTGTGACAGTGACAGAGAGATTAAGCTGCACTGATAAGCGTCCCCTTTGCAGCCAGCTGCTGTTGCCATTTTTGCACCTCTAAAAGGGCTTGAAAGAGGAACCTGTAGAACGATTTCTTTCGAAGTTGCTGGTAAGGACTGTGGGAAGACAGTTCTCCCACACAGCTTCCCGAGGCACTGTGCTGACTGGAGGCTGCTGGAGGGATGCAGCGAGCTTCAGGAGGGGTCTGCAGAGAGGGGATTGGCTCCTGCTGCTGAGATATCAGCAGATATCTGATTTGCCGCCCGAGTGCTGGGGTCATGAGATAGCAGAGAGGTGTGGGTGTCTGTTAGAGAGCCCCGGAACAGGCGAGCCCAGCCCGAGGATCCCGGCGTGGCCATCGATGCTCTCACGTTTGCTGCAGCTGCAGAGCTTGGGATGCCCAACAGCAGCCTGGCCCTGAGCGGCCTGGATGGGATCTACATTGGCAGCGAGTGCCTGCTGGCCCTGTTTGCCACGCTGGGCAATGCCCTGGTGGTGTGGGCAGTGAGGCTGAACGCAGCTTTCCAGAACACCACGCTCTGTTTCATCGCGTCCCTGGCGCTGGCTGACGCTGCCATGGGGCTGCTGGTGATGCCCCTGGCCGTGGTGGTGAGCCTGGGCACGGCCATGCCCAGCTACGGCTGCCTCTTCATGTGCTGCCTGATGCTGGTGTTCAGCAACGCCTCCATCCTGTCCCTGCTGGCCATCGCCATCGACAGGTACCTGCGAGTCAAGCTGCCCACCAGGTGAGGCTGCCCCACCCCGGGCCCCTCTGCCCTCCTTTCCGACCTTTAATTGCTTTAATTACCTGAAATGGATGCTTGTGCCTCGGAGCCCACCTAGGATGAGCTTTCCAGAGAGCTGGGGGTGCTCATGGAGCAGTTTTTCATGAGCTGGATGGCCAGCTCAGCTCTGTTACCCCTGATCAAAGTGCTGTCACAGGATGCATCTGTGTTAAATATTCAGCACTTTTGGTAATTGTGCAGGATGCTGAGTGTGTTATAGGTTTTTTTTTTAGGTTCCTGATGCTTGTCTTTTAAATAAAATTCCTTTTAGTATTTGCTGAAAATACAAAAGTAGTAACAAACTTAATAGCAGTTAACTGAAGTCACTCACTGTTTACATTTAAATGAAAAGTACACAAGCTAGAAAAGCAAAGCATAACTTCAAGCATCCAAGAAGTGATTTTTTATAATGGGAAAGGACCTGTGGAGCTGAATAATTAATTTTAGCCCTACAAATGGCATAAGCCAAATAAAAAAGAGGAAGGTACACCCAAGGAAGCCAAGAAATAAGATAGGATTTCCAACAAGAGCAAAGCAATATCCTGGCAAGAGGAGAACTAGGATCATAATGAAACAAGAAATAAAATGGGTTAAACATCCAGTTTTAAACGAGGGAACTTAAGCACAGTTCCTACTGAAGCTGCAAAGTGACTGCTTCAAATGAGGAGGTGGGGCTTGTCTCAAGAGAAAATTTGGGTTCCTGCAGTACCTGAACAGGTGAGTTCATCTTTAACGACCTTAAAACGCTTCTCTTTAACATGACCTGGGATTTCTTCCCCTACAGGTATAAAATCATCATCACAGAGAGGAGAGTTTGGTGGGCCCTGGGGCTGTGCTGGTCCCTGTCCCTGCTGGGAGGGCTGGTCCCCATGTTTGGCTGGAACAAGGCAGGCCCCAGGAGCTCCAGCTTCCTCAGGTGCAGGTTCATGTCCGTGATGAGGATGGATTACATGGTGTATTTCTGCTTCTTCCTGTGGACCCTCGTGCCCCTGCTCATCATGTGTGCTCTGTATGCCAACATCTTCTACATCATCCGCACCAAGCTCAGCCAAGGTCTCAGAGGGGCTGGGACTTTCTATGGCCGGGAGCTCAGGATAGCCAAGTCTCTTGCACTTGTTCTCTTCCTGTTTGCAATCTCCTGGCTGCCTCTGTGCACTATAAACTGTGTTTTCTATTTTCACCCTGAGCCTCAGATCCCCCCATATTTGATTTACTTGGCAATCCTCTTATCCCATGCCAATTCTGTCATGAACCCCATTGTCTATGCCTACAAGATAAAGAAGTTCAGAACCTCGTACCTTTTAATTGTAAGGACCTACATCCTGTGCAAAAAACCAGAGCCAGCTCTTGCAGAGCAAACAACAGACCCAGAGTCATAGACAGAGGCTGAAGCAGCCAGTGAGCCCCAGAGCATTGATAAAGCACCTGGCTTTGCCAAGAAACTCTTGGGAAACTGCAGCAACCTGTGGGTCTGAGGCTGCTCTAAAGCTCCGTGTGAATATATACCTTTATGTAATATAATTTCTAAACACAGAAGATGGAAACTTTGTCTGGTTGAGGGTTTTGGGGTTTTTTAACATGAGGATTGGTTGATTGAAAAACAGGATATGTTCTTTGCTGTTCATAATCCAGTGGCTCACAAGCTCTCTGACCATTCTTGTCTGTCCATTCAGACTAAACTTGAGTCTGACCAGCCTGTGCTTCAGCCAGTGTTGTCACGTTTTCATGAGTAATAATAAATAGTAGATGGATTTTATATTAATTCTGCCTGCTGAGTCCTCCCATGACCGAAAGAAAACCTGCCCAGTTTCAGGCAATGTCCTGCCTGGGATGGCACAGAAGTTGCAGCAATTGTTACACCACAGCTGACCCTGCCCATGTTTAGGGAACAGAGTTTGTTAAAGGCCAGGCTGTTTTTTTCTCCCCAGCCCAGCCTGGTGCTGCCATCAGGTGGCACCTCCAGCCCTGCTCCGACGCTGCCAGCCCCATCCACGCACAGGGAATGATTTGCACACTGTACTGGGAACACCTGGGTGATAACACCTGAATGAACATTCCCAGGGATTTTGGTTGTCCCACTGTGATTGTGCATTTCTTTTACGGGAGCCAACCAGGAAGCAGAGATTTGCATCCAAGCGTTTCATGGTCATCACTTCAATAACAGAAAATAACTAAGCAGAACACTTGGCAATCATAAAAAAAATCCAGAAAATGTTGGAGTAGGTGACAGAAAAGGGAAACACGAGGGCACAGATATGGATAGATGCAGAGAAACATTTTCATTTCGCACTCCTCCCTGATAGTTCTCACAAACGGAAACTTTACAAGGGCAGGGAGATTTCTACAGATGAGGAAATCCTGTAGAAACTCCACTTGCCCACAGCTGTTGGCAGCCAGTTTGAACAGGAGACAACTCCCTGTCATAACTACAAAAAGAGCTGTGTTACAGAGGACATGGGGGCATTCCCAGGGCATTCCCTTGGTGTAACATCCTCGTGGCTTTTGATGTCCAGAAAGTGGGATCGTTTTTATTTCCTTTGGAACTTCCTCATCACACAGGCAGTGCTGTCCTGCCCCGCTGGAAGACCAGAGTGCTGTAGGTCACTTCATTCTGGGGACGTGAGAGAAGCCACAGACATCAGAGAGTGCTCAAGCACTGCATGTCAGCAGGGATTTCCCACTTGTGACTTGTTCTCAACACCACACCCCATGAGCACCCTGTCCCTGCATGGGAGATTTGGTAAATGCTCGTTCATCCCACTGGCCAGTCTGGCTCAAGGCTCTGGGTAAAGTCTCCTTTAGGGGCTTCCAAAGAATTCATATCACAGAGCAAAACTGCAGAAATGCTCCCCCTTTAAAAAGATTTCTCCTAAGCTGCCTCATCTGTGGTTCAGCCCCAGAACCCCTGAAGTTGTCAAAAGAACTGCTGAGTAACAGTTGAGTCTCAAAGGTGCCCTTTCTCCCCCCACCCCAAATTAATATTTACCACACTCAAGAATGTGAAATATCTGCATGAAGCATTAGAAATGACAGTTGTGACATTTACCTGGGTGTTCCTAACAGATTCCTCAGCTGCCATCTGGGAGAAAGTTTCCTCTTGTAAATTTTGGTGGGATCTTTTAGAGCCTAGGAAGGAAAGGGAGTCTCAGGTGTTTGCAAGGAAGGCTGCAGAGGGTGACAGACAGGTGATGTGTAACCTCTGGCACACACCTGCACAGCAAAGTGGCACTTTGGGCTGCCCAGTCCCTTCCCACCTGCTGGAAGTGGCCAGGGTGAATTCAGTGCAGCCAGGATTAGGATGAGAAAAGCTCACAACCAACAGGAACCCCCTGAACTCATCAGTGGCAAAGTTAATTCTTTCCTGAAAACTCCACTGGGACGATTCCTGAGGAGTTATTGCCAGGGTTGAGCTGGTCACCCACACACAATTATTCAGGGCAGACATTATCTGAGCCACTTTCTAAGTAACTTCTGCAGCCACCACCAGTCTGCTGCTGTGCCCTCGGCTGTGTCACTCACTTTTCCTGAAGAGGAAGATGATTGCAAAAACCAGGACAGTCAGGAGGATGCCAGAGATGAAGGCCAGTGACATGTAGAGTATTTCATGGCTGTTGATACACAGGAAATCCGGTCAGAATCGCCAGTTTCAGCAGAGGGATTGAAGCATCAGCAGTGCTCACATTCACCAAACTTCATGGAGTGTAACATTTATCCCCAGCCCCATGGGACTAACGTGTGTGTCTGCACTGAGCATCTCTAGGAACACCCATGCAGTGCACAGGGCAGGCAATTCTAACTGAATTTAAACCCCCAAGATGTTACATTTATGATATATAACCCTTCCCTTGCAGAAGGAGGCGGCTGTCTCGGGGAACTGTGGGTTTGAAATCAGGAAATAAAGGTGCAGCATTTACTTATTAATCCAGCATCTGACTTCTGCAGCTCTGAAATCATCTGCAGGGGTGTGGGCAGTGGTGGGGACAGCAGTAGTAGTAGGGCAAGTGGGTTCTGGTGCAACTGCAATAGAAAAAAAAAAATCACAAGCTTGTTTTAGAAGGTGCAAATTTTTCAGTAGTACTACAAGCAACTAGAAGCACATGGGGGGCTGTGTCTGTGCAGTCTGTCTGAAAGTGGAACCAGCAGACAGGAAAGTTCTGCTGCTCAGACGGTGCTGACTGTGGCAGGCAGCCCATGGCAGCCATGCAGCCCTTCCCCAAGCACTCCCCGGGCAGGGCATCACCTCAGTCAGCAGAACTGCAGCTAGGGAAATTCCTTAAAAATAAAATACCTGGAGCTTCTTTTGAGGAAAAGGTTCCCATTCTCTCAGAGCATTAACTGACAAGAAGAGAAGCTGAAAGAAAGAGAGTTGTATTTATGTACACATACACATAAGCAAAACAAACTTGTTATCCTCCTCAAACTCAAAAGACTTGATTTGGTTTTTATCTATTTCTTGGAAATCTTGTAGAAGTGGCACAAAGCCACTCAACCCTGGCAGTTCCTCAGCACCAGCCCCTGCCCATTGTTCCCGTGCACACGAGTTCACTGCTCCCTGACGGGCACGGCACCTTCTCCACCCAGAAAATGGAGGATATTTAATAACTAAAAAGCACCTACAGGATTATTTTTGCAGCAGCTAAAACCCTATGAACATTTTCATAATCAGAAGCAGCTTTGAAAAGTTCCTCCCTTGATTTTTTTAAGTTAAGTTGACTTTTCCCACCAGAACAGGAACTGTAACTTTCTCCAGTTTGTGTGTGGGATCTTAGAGATAGGGAGTCTAAAAGCCATTCCACTACAAAATCCCTGCACTGGCATTTCTCACCACATGCTTTGCAAACTGTGGATCGTGAACAATGTGAAACCATTGCGAACACCCCGTCCTCTGCTGCTGCCCCTTTTCCTCCTGCATCCCATTGCTGCCACATTCCAGAGGAGCCAAGCCACGAAAGCTCCCAGTTTCCCACAGCAAACCTCGCAGGGTGCTGTGTGTGCAAGAATAAAAGAAACAAGAAATGATACAGCTCCATCTTACCTCCCACCATGGAAAGGCTGCTGGAAAACTCCCCAAGTGTCAGCACACCACTTTGGCCACTTGCTTTGTGAGCACAATCTGTCACACCAGCTGAAAGCTCAATGTCAATCAGACGTGGGCTTACACAATTGTGGAAGTTAAGCAACTTCACTTTTTTATTTAAATTGACAAAAAACAGGAAACCATGAAAGACACCTGCATTCTCTGGAACTGTTAAGTCTGAAAAAAGGAAGGCAGCTTCAGCTTAGGTTGGGTTGGAGTCAGGTTCTTGCCTCCAAAGAACACCATTTTGGTGTTTGGAAAACCATTTTTCTTAACCCTACTGAGAAATGGGATTGCAGGCAGCCCCAGTATGCCCACTTGGGTTTATGGACTACATAAATCACAGCACACACAGGAGGGGTTTATTTGTGTGTGTGCTTTGCTGGGATTTTTGAGTTTTAACAAATTCCTTCAGCGAAAAAATTCCCATAAAAAGAAAATGAACAGAATTGTGGAAGTCCAGAAAAACTCTTTTGGAACAAACGTGCCCATGTCCCTGTTTTAGACTGAGTGCACACACTTGGCCAGCTGAGGGCGTTTTTCAGGAGCCTTTGACACATTTCCCATGCGATCTCCCTTCCCAGAACCCAGACTCTTACAACACTTCACGGGCTTTATGGTGAAAGGGGGTTTCCAGCTCCTTTAGAGAACAAGAAGATTCACCCAGAGCCCCTCCCAGCCCAGGGCAAGGTGAATGGGAGCACAAATCACCCTGATTTTAGAACACGGGTACAGGGACAGCAGGTATCTGGGGCTGCTCTCACTCAGAATTCTAACACAGGATCAGATTCAGCAGCAGGGTTTCTCTCTGTATCTTTGGAAGTGTTCCTGACAAACAGGGAATCCAACAGGATCTCAGACACTGTGGCTCCAACTCATCCCCCACCACAAGCCAGCTGCAGTGGTTGCTGTAACCATCCAGTGACTTCAAACACAGACAGGCAGGGATGTTGCTAGTGAAACACAGCAGAGGAGGTTTTTTGTCTGTTTAATGATATTTTAGAGTCATACAGTTTCCAAGAGGAGGTATTGGGACATGTCAGTGGGCTCAGACTGCTCACACAGTTGCATGGGCACTCTTGGACAGCGCCTTCAGGTCCAGGATGCACTTGGCAATGCTTTCCTTCTGCTGCAAGAGACAGGAAACAGCCTTCAGGGGACATTTCAACAAGAAAATAGACATTTAAGTGCATTTTAGACAAACCTTGTTAGACCTATAAGTTACTGATTAAGAGGGATGCAGTTATAGCTCATGAAGTCAGAGATTCACATCCACTAAAGCACAGATTCCTGGAATCCCAGAAGGTCTGAGTTGGAAGGGACCTCAAAGCTCATCCAGTCCCCCCACCCCTGGCCAAGGTCACCCATCACCTCACGAGCCAGGATCCCTGAACAGCAAACCCCTGTGCAGGCTAAAACGTAAAGCAGGTAAAAGCCAGCAAGTACCTGCTGAGGGGTGATGCTCTGGACAACGTTCTTCTCCACCCACTGGATCATGTGGTCCTGCTCCTTCTGCCGCTTCAGGTTCTGCAGGGCCACCTGGTAGTCCAGCCTCTTCTTCACCTCGTTGTACACGGTCAGCAGGCGCTCCCGGTAGTTGGCCTCCAGCAGCATCGCAATGTTGTTCTGCAACACAGCAGCACACGGGAGGATTGAGGCTGGCAGCAGAGCACAATGTGTGCCAGTTGGCCTCCAGCAGCATGGCAATGTTGTTCTGCAGCACATGGGAGGCTCAAGGCTGGCAGCAGAGCACAATGTGTGCCAGTTGGCCTCCAGCAGCACTGCAATGTTGTTCTGCAGCACAGCAGCACACAGGAGGATTGAGGCTGGCAGCAGAGCACAATGTGTGCCAGTTGGCCTCCAGCAGCACTGCAATGTTGTTCTGCAGCACACACCAGGCTCGAGGCTGGCAGCAGAGCACAATGTGTGCCAGTTGGCCTCCAGCAGCACTGCAATGTTGTTCTGCAGCACACGGGAGGATTGAGGCTGGCAGCAGAGCACAATGTGTGCCAGTTGGCCTCCAGCAGCACTGCAATGTTGTTCTGCAGCACACAGCAGGCTCGAGGCTGGCAGCAGAGCACAATGTGTGCCAGTTGGCCTCCAGCAGCACTGCAATGTTGTTCTGCAGCACACAGCAGGCTCGAGGCTGGCAGCAGAGCACAATGTGTGCCAGTTGGCCTCCAGCAGCACTGCAATGTTGTTCTGCAGCACAGCAGCACACGGCAGGCTCGAGGCTGGCAGCAGAGCACAATGTGTGCCAGGGCCCAGCAGGGCAGGCTGCCCTGGCACTGCAGGAACGCTCACCCGTTTGGCATCGAAGAGGTAACTGCGGCCCTCTGCCCTCCACTGCTCCTTCTTCTCCTCCTCGATGGCCGTCTGCAGCGTCTGGATGGTGTCGTTCTTCATGGCCAGAGCCGAGGCCATTTTCTCCTGGAGGAAAGAGAGGACTCCGCGCTTCAGGGTCAGAGGCAAGGAAAACGAGTGCTCTGCAGTTAATGCTGCAATGCTGCACTGAGCTGTGAGAAACCTCTGTGCCAACTGCCCTGGGCCAGGGCTGAGCTCATGCCAACAGAGAACGAGGGCTCACAGCCAGTCATGGAATCCCAGACTGGTTCGGGTTGGAAGGAGCTTAAATCCCATCCAATCCCACCCCTGCCATGGCAGGCACATCTTCCACTGTCCCAGGCTGCTCCAAGCCCCATCCAACATGGCCTTGGACACTTCCAAAGGCAGGACAGGCACAGCTTCTCTGGGCCTGCTCACCCTCACAGGGAACAATTCCTCCCCAGTGCCATCCATCCCTGCCCTCTGGCAGGGGGAAGCCATCTGTACTTTAACAAAACCCTTCCTTACTAACGACTGGACAGTTAAATTGCAGTTTCTTCATTACCTCGTTAAGTTTGTCAGCAAAAGCTGCCACATCAGGCCCAAACTTCTTGATGGCATAAACGATGACTGTCAGTATGCAGGCAGCTGCTGCTGTCTCGTGGTTCACCACGTAGATCTCCTTGGAAAGCAGGTAGAGCAGGAGGCCAGTGCCCAACATGTAGGGCCCTACAGGAGAAATGAAGCAGCACTACTTGTATAAAGCACAACGAGCACCAGTAAACTCAAATACCTAAGAAGGAGACACTTTAAAGGCTCACAAGGTCAGGAAGAAGTGTTCTATTTTACCAGGACAAAAAGCAGAGCCACAATTCCACCTGGCAAAGGTGCCACAAGGAACCTCACTACAAGTGGGAGCAGCTTGCACCTGATATGGGACCTGCTGCTTTTGCTCATTCAGAAACATGCAAAATTTAATTTTTTTAAGGATCAACAGGCAACTAAATCTTTCTACAAAACCAAGCTCATGGAATTCTTTCAATCATTAGGTGTCTAACTTTGGAGCCAGGAGTCCTACAGTGGCTTGTTCTTCACAACCTGCACATGGAAAATACTCATTTTCAGTAATATTTTACCTTTTCAGCAGCCAGAACTGATGAACAGAACCACGTAAGCATAGCTAAAAATGGTAAAATCTATATTAACCTGTCACTCCTGTTTTAGGGTAGAGAAACTGGAAAAACTCCTCAGGGATCAAACCATGACGAACTTCTCCTCCCTTCTCAGGCAGAGGTGGCACAGGAGCCAAACTCTGCTGAGTTGTGTGCAGTGGTCTTGTGGTGTGTAACACCCTGTGAACAACGAGAACATCTCAATTATGATTCTTACATAAAAACCAGACAGAAACAGTTCCCCAAACCACCCTTAGATGAGGCTCAAGCACATTTCCAATGAAATAAGCAGTAACTGGCGAGGCCGGGCACAGGGTGCCCCGTCCCTGGCAGTGTCCAAGCCAGGCTGGCCCTGCTCTAGGGGAAGGTGTCCCTGTCCATGCAGGCGGTGCAACTGGATGAGCTTTAAGGTCCTTCCCGCCCCAAACCCGGCCGTGATTCGAAGAAGGAGGCATTGACTGGACACACCTCCTCTCACAAGTGGGTGGGACTACATAACCTCCATAAGTTCTTTCCACCGTCCCTGCCCCACACTCCCGCAACATCAATGAGAAAAACGCGAGACAAAACCCCAGAATAACGCTGTTTAAGCCCAAATCCCGGCCGGTGCCCGAGGGGCTCCCCGGTACTCACCCCACGGCGACGGGCGGCGGCAGCGCCCTGAGGGCGGCGGGGGCTGAGGGGACAAGAGGGCAGAGAGCGCGTCAGGGCAGAGCTGGGCCGGCACCCCCCGCCCGCCACCCGCTCCCCCCGAGCGGCGGCACTGCCCGTGCTCACCGGCGCGCAGGACGAGGCGGGACAGCATGGCAGGGCAGGGAGCGGCCGTGAGGAGCGGCGGGGCAGGAGGAGCGGCGGCGCCGAGCTCGTCCCGGTCGGTGACCGCCGCCGCCGGGCGCTGAGATGGCGGCGCGGCTCTCGCGAGAGCGCGGGCAGGGCGGGCGCGGGGCGGGCGTTCTCGCGAGAGGAGGCGGCGGCGGGAGACACGTGGGGGCACGGCCGGCCCCGCCGCCGCCGCCATGGAGGAGCCGCTGCCTCCGCCGCCACCGCCGCCGCTGCTGCCACAGGCGCCCCCGCCGCCCGCCCCGCCCGACAGCGCCGCCCCCGCCGCCCCGCTGGATGGGGAGCCCGCGGCCGAGCCCGCCACCGAGTGGAACATCCCGCCCAACGCGCCCGCCTGCATGGAGCGGCACCTGGAGCGCGCGCACTACCGCGCAGGTAGCGGGGCGGGGGGCGCGGCGGGCCTGGCACCGGGGAGCGCTCCCGGGCGCTGCCCGCGCCTCTCCCCGCGTCTCTCCCCGCGCTTCCCCTCGTGTCTCTCCCGCAGACGGGGCCCTGCTGCTGGGCGCCTCCGGGCTGAACGGGCGCTGCTGGACCGGCTCGCTGTGGGTGTTTGCCGAGCCCCGGCGCGCCCCCAGCGAGGGCTTCTGCACCGCCGGCGTGCAGACCGAGGCGGGGGTGGCCGACCTGTGCTGGCTGGCTGACAGGGGCATCTTGGTGGCCTCCGACTCCGGTAAGCCATGGGCATGGCCCCATCCTTCCTGGGGGTCCCCCGGCCCCTCCCCTGGGGTGTGCGGCCCCCTCCTCTGCTCAAAGGTGGGTGTCCCTGCCCATCACTGAGCTGGGTGTCCCCGTCACTGAGCTGGGTGTCCCCGTCACTCAAGTGGGGTCCCCATCACTCAGGTGAGTGTTCCCCTACATCCCCCAGGTGCAGTGGAGCTGTGGGAGCTGGAGGAGAATGAGAGCCTCATCGTGAACAAGTTCTGTAAATACGAGCACGATGACATCGTGACCTCGGTGTCGGTGCTGGCCGGCAGCAGCCAGGCTGTCAGCGGGGGCAGGGACTGCTGGTGAGTGTGCCTGGGCTGGCAGCCCTGTGCCCAGCCCTGTGCCCAGCCTGGCAGCTGTGTGCTGGGCTGTGCTGGGCGCTCACTGCTCCTTCTCGTCCACAGTGTGAAAGTCTGGGACATCCCGGAGCAAACGGTGCTGCACTCCTACAGAGGTGAGTGCCAACACACCCCTCTCTCCCTTTTATAATCCCCTTTACGTCCCACTTTGACCCTTTCCCCCAAGCCCTTGTCTGGCTCCCTCAAGCTCAGGGCTGTCTCAAGGACTGTGGCCATGGTTGGATTGGGCAGCTCATGGATCCATGGTTGGATTGGGCAGCTCATGGATCCATGGTTGGATTGGGCAGCTCATCGCTTTGGTAGGAGGCAGCTGCTGCTGCTGAGCAGAAGTTATCCCTGTCTGGGCATAACTGTTAAACTGATGTTAAACTCTGGAGGGCCTTGGGAATATGTGGGAAAGTTGGATACAATCTTTGAGGCTCTTTATCCTTTTGTGCTTTTGGTAGCTCACGCCGATGCAGTGACATGTGTGGCTTCCTGTCCTGGTAAGGACACTGTGTTCCTGTCCTGTGCTGAGGTAAAGCTCACTCTGTTCTCTAAATCTACCCCATTTAAACGAGATTTAACTTTAGGTATTTACAGTTTAATGCACTTAGAAACGACCTCTGGTGTTGCAGCCAGCCTCCCTGTGTTATTGCAGTGTTCCAGTCTGATAAATTTATAATCAATTTGTCAAGTGATTCCTACAGGTTTGTATCAAATTTTGGGAGCTCCTGGGGATGACTGAAGGCTGCACTTGGTGACAGCATCATTTTAAACCAGAGGAAAACACAGGGTCATTTTGCCTGTGAGTCAGCAGTGAATCTGAATTTATGCCACAAAGAAATTGTAAAATTCTTCTCATTCCTTTTGGATTTCTAGGACAACAGAACTTTACTCTGGGACACCAGATGCCCCAAACCAGCTACCCGAATTGGTATGTGTCTGTGTGCAGTCACTGCTTCTGCATGAGTGTCTTGGAAGAAATAAATTATTTTATGCCTTTTAACTCCAAATCTAGTGATTGGAGTGCCTGTTAAAACCTAAGGAGGTCTAGCACTGTCACAGAAGTACAATAAGCTTAAAACACTTGTCCTGCTGCAGTAGCAGTGCTGAAGGAGAGAGATGAGGAATGTCTTTGTGCTGTGCCTCCTTCCCCTCTCACGCCAGTTTGTTCCCTTGCAGTTTGCAGTGCCTGTAATTACCTCCCTACCTCAGTCATGTGGCATCCACAGAAAAGTGACATCTTTGTCTTGGGTAAGCACCTGCACTCTCACCAGGCAAGCCAAGGTGGCTGTTTCCACAGGGCAGTTTGTGCTGTGGGCTCAGTGCCCCTCTGTGCCCGTGTTCACAGGGGTTCTTGGATGAGGGAAGAGACCAGAATGCTGACTCCACGTTCAGAGGGATTGATTTATTATTTTATGATTTATATATATTACATTATAACTATACTAAAAAGAAATGGAAAGGAAAGGTTTCCTCAGAAGCTAACTAGCTAAGAATAGAAAAGAAAAGAATGATAGCAAAGGCAGCTCTCTCGACTCTGTCTGAGATAGCTCGGTCCTTGACTGGCCATTAATTATAAACATCCAGGAGGGGCCAAGCACAGGTGGACCTGTTGCATTCCACAGCAGCAGACAACCACTGTTTACATCCTGTCTCTGAGGCCTCTTAGCTTCTCAGAAGGAAAAATCCTAAGGAAAGGATTTGTAGTGAAAAGATGTCTGCGACACCCCTCTCTGCAGGTGATGAAAGTGGAACAGTTGCACTGGTGGACACAAAGAATCCTGACTCTGCCCTCAGCGCTGCCGTGCACACCCGAGGCATCACAGGCTTTGCTTTCTCTGCACACAGGTACTGATGATTCTGGCACACAACGTGGCACTGCCTCCCCTCAAAAGCCTTAGTTGTTCTTGAGTAAAACCTGTGAGAGTGCCAGTTTTGGTCTTCTCATCCAGGAGATTGTAGCAGAGAATAGAGTAAACCAAGCAATGTCTCACTTCTGATGTGTGAATGTCCACAACAAGAATTCTGCAGCTCCAGAATTACTGACCTGCACACTGTGGAGACTTTTCTAATTATAGTCATCTCTGATTAAAGAAAGATCACTTGTTTTCAGATTCTAATTGAGTATTCCCATTCAGTGTACTGGCACACTGCCAAATGCTGATGAGAACATTTTTGTAAGATTTTTGTGAGCTCATTTGCTGAACCTGGGTCTGGATCACTAATAATCCTGCTGTTCACAAGTTTATCCCTAAAAGTTCTTGGATTTGCTTGTTCTGACTGTGCTCTCGTCTCTCTCTAGTTCACCCTTACTGGCTTCCATCAGTGAAGACTGTTCAGTTGCTGTTCTTGACTCAGACCTCTCAGAGGTGTAAGTACTCCCAGAATACTCACTGCTGTTGTCTTTTCAAGTTAATTATTAATACACAGGATGGTTTGGGGTGGAAGGGGCCTTAAAGATCATTCATCCCACCCTCTGCCACGGGCAGGACACCTTCCACTATCCCAGGGTGCTCCAAGCCCCATCCAGCCTGGCCTTGGGCACTGCCAGGGCTGGGGCAGCCACAGCTGCTCTGGGCAGCCTGGAGGTGAAAATGTTCCTAAATAGAGGAGCATCATCCTAACAAGCCAGCAGTTAGGGATTGCACAAGCCCAGTACTCTCTAATGATGGCTGATGGAGTGTTGGTGTTTTCCAGGTTCAGAGACCATTCTCATCGAGACTTTGTAAAAGGCTTGTCCTGGTCTCCTTCAGATGATGCCTTGCTCACTACAGTTGGATGGGATCATCAGGTTTTACATCACACTGTCCCCCTACCAGCTGGTGAAGCTTCTGGAATCAACTGTGTAAAAGAATAGTTTTATAAACTCATGGTCCAAGTTCCTTGCTGGCATCACTTTGATTCTGCTGAAGTCGCAGGTGTGTGAGCTGGAGTGGGGTCTGGTGTCTGCCTCCAAGCTTGTGGCTAAGAAGGTTCCTGTAGTAATTTTGAATTAGGCATAAGTTAGTTACAAACCAAGCTTTACCCTCTCCTCAGGAGCAGCTTCTCCTGTAATAAAAGACTTTGGTTTTACTCAGAAAAAAATTGACTTCAGGCACAGAGGAGACTTGGAGAGTCAGGGAATTAGGTGTAATGAAAAAGAAATAAAGTCAAAAAGACTTGATCCTTTCCTCAGTTCTCCAGACTACCCATGGAATTCATAGAAGCTTCTGGGGGAGGTTTGCAACATGCTTCTTGTTGGAAAGGTGTGAGAGCCTCACCCTTGAGCCAAGTTCTTTGCTCTGTAAATCAGGTGGAATGAAAATACCTGTTGGGATGCAGGGGCTAGAAGGGTTCCAGTGTTGTCCTTACTGCAGCACGTGGTTGGTGAGGGGGATTCAGCCTCAGTAGCAGTGGGGAGCCTCTGGGGAGCACTGCCTGTGCACTGGTGTAGGATAGCAGTGTTTGCTGTAAATACCAATGTTGGTGTCAGGAGGTAAAGTGAGGAGCCCAGCTGGAGCCCTGCAGCTCAACACCCTGGGATGGCGCTGGAACCCTGGCATGCCAGGGGCACTGGCAGCAGGAGGGAGCGGGTGCTGTGCTCTCTGGCACCAGGGTTCATCTCCTCTGTGCTGAAGGCAGCTCACTCGAGGATAGGAGCTGTGAACAGAAGGTTTATGTGGGGTAGAACTGCACTAAGGACTTCAGTTGTCATTCGCTTGCTCCTGTACCAGACTGTGCTTAGTGATAGCCCGGATCCACGCACTTGTGGCAAGTGACTTCTTGTGCTGGCACTGAGGGGATAGGACACTGCCCTACCCCCAGGCCAGCCTGCACAGAGCCCTCTGAGGTGCTTTTGTCAAATACCACGTACATTTCTAACTCAGCTGTTCACCTGGAGAAAGTCACTGCTCTGCATGCATTGCTGCTGCTCTAGGTATGGCTTGCTCTGGCCTAGCATTTCCTAGACAGAATTAAGCAAGTCCTGACTGATGAAGCAAAAATGCCATTGAAGTGAATGTTACCCCTGGTTCTTTAGCATGATAGCAGCACTTAAATGTACAGTGCTTCCAGTTTTTACCTCTGCATCCACATAGGTTTAGTTGTGCAAAGCCCACAATTGATTTTGAGGCAGACTAAGCTTTCCCAGGCTCTGTACTTCTCTCATACTCTTTGTAAACCTCACTTGCTGCTTTTTAAATTCCCGTGTCATACAGGTGTTCACAGCAACTGCCTGTTCTAGAGCAGCGTATGACAAGAGATGGTAAATGATGATAAAAACTGACACATTTCCTCAGAAATACCCCTTGAACCACAAAGTCCTCTCTTGGGGGGATGCTGTACTGAAACAGGTTTTGTGCTGGTTCTGAAAATGTCTTGGAAGATGGTTTTCATTTGTAACTGGGGTTAACTTTCACTGGGCCACTTCTGTAGCACTGAAGAGCCAGCTGAGATCATCCACACAGTTCAAGTTGTGATTTCAGTCCCTGATATTAAAACTGTTCTTAAATAAATGTTCACCGTAGTCCTGTTCAATGCCAGGATACTGCAGTTCTTCAGCACTGGTGCAAGGCAGGCTCTGGCTCCTGCTGCTTTCTGGCAGTTGTTCTTGCCAGAACTCTGAACGTGGGGTTCCATCATGCACGGCTAAAATTAAAAGTTCAAATGTCAGACATTAAACCCCATTAGGTTCCTCATATTGCCACACCCGAGCAAAACACAACAGTCCGTGGCAAAAGACTCTGGTGGGTGCTGAAGCCTGTCGGGAGAACAGGTCAGTGGTGATATATTAACATTTTACAATTAAAGACCAAACAAGCCTCAATGCTTCGGTGTCTGGCAGGTGTTTGTGGTGCCACAGGATGGCAGCAGCTGCCCTTGGCAAGGGCAGGGCCCCAGCTCTGCTCATTGCCTGAAGGAGTGGAGTGTCTGCTTTTGGGGTGTCTGGCACTCGCACTCGGGGTGTTCCACTCGGAAGCACAGAGGAGCAGCAGTGCAGGAGTCACTGCTGGGGTGCAGCTCGGCTCAGAGTTGTACCAGTGGCTCAGAGTTGCTGTACCAATGGCTCAGAGTTGCTGTACCAGTGGCTCAGAGTTGCACCAATGGCTCAGAGTTGTACCAGTGGCTCAGAGTTGTACCAGTGGCTCAGAGTTGTACCAGTGGCTCAGAGTTGCTGTACCAATGGCTCAGAGTTGCTGTACCAGTGGCTCAGAGTTGTACCAATGGCTCAGAGTTGTACCAGTGGCTCAGAGTTGTACCAATGGCTCAGAGTTGCTGTACCAGTGGCTCAGAGTTGTACCCTAAGGAACGGTGGCAATGCTGGGGGTTTGTGCCTTGCTCAGCTGTCCCTGCCCCACCACACACCGTTCAGGTTTGGGGACACCTGGGGACAGCCACTGTGGCTCCAGTAAAGCTTCAAGGCACACATTGCACCCTTCCCTCCCTCACACAGAGCCTGCTTCTGCGGCCTGAGCTGGCTGAAGGAGATGAGAATGCAAATCAGTTTAATTCTGAGAGCAGAGGAGCAGCCACGCTGCAGCCAAGCCTTTCATGCTGCTGCCTGCACTGCTCACACCGCGCCTGCAGTTTTGGGCACAGCGTTCCAGTCGGGACTTGCAGCAGGCAGGGGAGTTTCACCCTGCTGAGCAGCTCCAGCCCAAGCACTATTTATAGAGGCTGCTCCTCTGCCAGCCTGCCCAACCTGCTGGGCGTGAGTGACGGAGCTCCTGGGGCTCAGCTGCCCCTTCCTGCCCTGCCTGGGCTTTGGAAACACTGACATGGCCACAGCCTTTGGGTCAGGCTCACAGAAACTGCACCAAGCCCTGGCTAAGCTGAAATTCAAACCTGTCCCAGTCCTCCAGCAGACAGACCATGTCAGCCACACCAAAAAAAGTCAAACCACACATGTAATAAAACATCCAGAAATGTTTAATGCAAGAAGGTTGGTGTTCAATGGCACTCATAAATAAGAGACTTTGTTCAATACTTTACAGCTAAAGCTCTGTTACACTCCCCTAGCAGGAACTTGTGAGGAAGAGGCAGCTGCAGGGGATAATCTCAGTTGTATCACGACTTGAATTACCACACTGCCTCAGAGAGGGTGAAGTGAGAATAATTCCACACTCAGGCTTCAGGATTGCTCTCAGCACTGGGCTGAGGCAGGGTGCTCTGCTCCATTAATACCCCTTAGTTTTGTTTCCTCTTTCTCTATTGCTAAATTTCTGCCGTGAAAGAGCTGGGAGGAGCAGGAATGCAAGGACAGTTTGTTTATCCAGAGTTACCTGTCCCAGCAAGGGGGGCTCGTCCCCACCCCTGCAGTCCTCACTGTGAGAGATCTGACTCTGTCCCCAAGTGCTTTGGCTGCCAACAGCTCTGACAGTGCTTCCTTTGTCACAGTGGCCCCAGAATCAATGGTGAGCTGTTCCTGAAATACCAGAATTTGCTGAATGCATTCAAAAGAAGCAGGGATAGAGCAAAGTGAAGAATAGAAGAGTCCCACTGCTGAGAACCTGCATGCTAACCAGTCCTACAACCGGGAGCAGAGTCCAACCTGATCCAGTGAGAGCTCAGCCCCCTGGGCAGTCCCTGAGTGCTGTTCTTGAATGAAGAGTGGCTGTTTTATAAAGCTGACTTCGATTATCACACTTCTAATACTAAATTAAAGCAATTGTGTCTGCTAGAAATGAGACACTCCGTGGTGTCCAAGACCATATTTCACCCACACGTGAACTGTGTGTCTGGGTGAAGTAGTAAAGGTGACATTTAAAGCAGGTATCAACATTGGAGTGTCACATTTTTCTCTAAAAAGAAAAAAACAGCTTCAGGAGATTGCAATTTGGAAGAATTCTTGAGGTGGAACACTGCACACATACCCCCCTGCCCTCCCCACTTCTGGGCAAAGTCAAAAGCTGAAATTGCCCACCCAGCCTTAAAATTGTTTCTGAGAACTCATTTGCAAATATAGCTTATTATTTCAGAAAAAAAGTATCAGGAAGAAAAACCCATTAAGCTGCAACATTATCAAAGAGACTTCTTTGTTTGCTTTCAGGTTAAACTGGTGAAACTTCATCCAGTACCAAAACATGACCCTGAAGCCCCTCAAGGAGGAGCACGAATTTACTTCTACAGATGAATAAGAATGCTCAAGATGCTCCTTGCATGGAGAAAATGCCATGTTTTGGGGCAGGTGGTATTCCACATGACACTTGGCACACTTAAATGTCCTTATAGCCACTCCATAGTCACTTTTATCCATAAATACGTTTTTAAAACCAACACCCAGATATTAAAAGCCTATTATTTCAATATTGGCTGGGGTGAGCAATGGAAATCTTTTAAGTCACTGTGACTTGCTGGCATAAAAATGCCCTTTGAATTAGCTATTAGACTGATTATTGTATTTGCATTTTCATTTTATTCACAGCAAAGTGAAGTTCAGAATACTTTAAAGCTGCTGCAATATCTGAAAGGGCTGTTAAATTATTAGGTAAAGCTGGAAATAACACAAAACACAGATTGTCAATGATATGACTCAAATATCAAGATAACTTTTGAGAATTCCACAGTGAAGGGAAATTTATCCCTGATTTTGAGCTGCATTGTAAAGCAAGATCTGCTTGCAGGCCACATCCAGGTGTGTGCCAGGCAGGGTAAGCTGGAGTGGAACCAGTGGCATTTATAGCATTGAAAATAGAAAGTGCTTTCCATAAAAACAGACTCATGTCTCAAAGTGCTTTCAGTTTATCAGTGACAAGAAAAAATTCTCTACAAGTTTTTACAGTTATCTTACAGTGATTTTCAGCAGGTTTACCTAGGAGGAAGAGTCTCTGTTTCTAGTTTCAGGACGTTGGCTATTCACAACTCAGGTCAGCTGTGGTGAGACCCACGGCTCACTCTGGAAGCTGGAACCCTCTTTAAGGCTTCTCAGAGCTCCCAGCCCTGCCCAGGCACCAGCAGAGGGGAGCAGGGGCAGGGCTGCACCTGCAGCACCTGGAACAGCACTGAGGGCAACAGAGAGAGCCAGCTCCCTTTGGGTGCCCTGCAGACACCACCCTGCACCCACAGGCACACCGAAATGGAGCTCCTCAGTCCCAGATCAGTGGAACAGCTCATAAGGACACTTGTTAATAACTGAGGAAACAAGGACACTTTGGGGGGCACGGGGCTGTGAATGGCAAGAGAGCCCTCGGGGAGAGCACCCGCAGCACAGCACTGGGTGAGTCACTGGCACCCCCCTGCCCAAGGAAAAGGATTGCTCTGTGTCCTGCACCCCTAAAGTGCTTCACAGCCTCCCAGCCAGGCCTCACAGCCTCCTTCCATGAGGAATAATTGCCAACAGAAACATTTACAGTGACCAAAAGGCACAGCAAAGCAGGGCCCCTTCTCCCAAAGCTGCTCCTGGAGAAGGGGTCAGAGCCCGGCTCAGCAGGACAGGCACTGACTGCCCAGAGCTGGGCTTAAGGCAGAACTGATTTGCTCCAAGCTCTTAAGGACAGCAAGGATCAGGATCAAAGCACCCTAAACTCTCCTCCTATCCCACTGGCCTCACATTCTTATTTCAATCCCTGACATTTAGCTATACACTGCTTTACTTCCATTGTGCACATCTCTCAGTTGGTTTCTCCCTGCTCCCAAACATGCTGGAGTTAAACCAATTAAAAACCAAACTGAAATCAACCTTTCCAGTGGTGATGCTCTCTAAAGAGAGCTGAGGATGCTCTGTGGCTTTCCTAGACAGCCTATCAGGCTGCAATTCTGAAAATAACCCAGGAGGGAGAACGGGAAAGAGGGAAACCACGTTTGCTCACGTAACACGGCAGCAGCCTGCCCACCGCAGTAACGACTCTCCATGGCAGTCTTTGAGAAAAGTCCAGTCTCAGGCTCATTCCCCAGCAGCAGTTCCAAGCAAGTGCATTTCCAGGCTGGGCTGGGACCATCCCTGGTGCCCGTAGAGAAGGAAGAGACCAACCCAGGCACCTTCTCGTCCCTTCCCAGCCAGCTGCCGGCAGGGCAGCCCCGAGCTCGGCCTACCGGTGGCTCTGGTAGGAGTAGGAGATGGGCTGGCGCGTGCCGGGCCGCACCGTGAAGGTGTTGGAGGGTGCCCCATAGTGTGGGGTGCCATGGGCAGGCCTGCAGGGAGAACAGAGGGACAGTCACCCAAAGCAAGCCCAGGCAAACCTCGGCGTTGGGTCAGCACTGCAGGGATGCATTTCACTGCTCCGTGTCTCCCCTCAGTGAGCTGGGATGGCGAGGGACATGGGGGTCACAGCTGGCACCAGGCAGGAGCCATGGACGGTCACTGCCCTCGGAGCAGGAGCCAAGGGGCAGCGAGGTGGATGGGGAGGGACATGGGGGTCACAGCTGGCACCAGGGAGAAGCCAGAAATGGTCACTACCCTCGGAGCAGGGCAGCAGCGGGGGCAAAGGGGCAGCAACTCCCCTGGAGCCTCAGTGCTGCTCTGGGGCCATTCCAAGGGACACCGAGGGCAGGGAGAGTGGGCTCAGGGGGCACGTGG